AAATTCATTTAAGAAATGGAATAACAAATTTAATATATTGGAGTTAATTTAATCTTTTTTTATCTGATGAGTGGTTTATCCTAGCTACTCTGCCTTGCACGTGGTATTACAAACTATGTTAATGTCTATTACTGTTCATCCTTTTCTAGTTTCATCAGTAATTCAATGATGCATCTTCTTCTTAATCCTTTGATAGTTGACATGAATAAGAAGGCTTCTATATGTAGGGTTTGAAATCAGAATTGGAAAAGGCTTCTCCTGCCCTAGGGCGTAGTGCAATTTACTTGAAAGAGTCTCGAATAAATGGCTTGCCAAGGTAACCAATGGCTTCTTTACATCATCTATATATAATGTACGGTAGTCTGCTCAATGTAATGTCAGATTTCTTTCTGATGTCCAGTTGCTATTTTCATGCTTCATACCGTCCTCATGTTTTCTTGGAAGAGAAGAATGTTCTGGTAACTTTTTTTTTTTTGGTTTTTTGGGCGAATTCTGACAGGTATTTGACTATTCAGTTTGTACGATTTTTCTGGAAGAGGGAGTCAAATCAAAAGGCTAAGATATTGCGGGTATGCAAATTTTATTTTGACTAGGCACATGATTAGATTTTTTATATGTTTTCATGAACATATATATATATATATAACCATCAGGAGATGACTTAGTAAAGGCACATAAAAAATTGAGACCCTTCTGTCTGTTTACTGAACTGTGTTGTAGCTTTTGAATGACATGATATGCGTTCCCCTTTTCAGAAAGTGGATTATCCACTGGAGTTGGATGTTTATGATCTGTGTTCAGATGAACTTCGCAAACAATTGGAAGGCCCTCGCCAGGTAGCCATTTTGCCTTATTTTGATGAATAATTAGATTTCAGTTTGCACTGCATTGATCAAGTTTTTCTTGATATGCAACTTTTAGTTTCTGAGGGATGAGGAAGGTAAAAAGCTTGGTTTGAAAGCTAATGAGAAGAGCTCTGGCACAAAAGATGATGATGTCAAGATGACTGATGCAGAGGTGACTAGATGATTTAGTTACAAGCGCAGACATGAAATTGCAGTCCTGAGTACTTGTGTTTGATACAGTTTGTTTAATGCATGCAGGGATCATCAAATGCAAGTGCAGAACCATCTGCAACTACACCTCAAGAAGGTGAAATCCCTCGATGCCTGAAATATCTTGTCACTCTAAACTGGTTACGACTACTTCTTTGCTGTTTATTCTCTAGATATGTATCATTTAGTGGTTGCATGTAAGGAGCCATGGTTTTCCTCTTTTAAATAAATGAATATCTGATGAATAAAATCTAAGGTTTTGAAGCCCATTGTACATGGATGAATTTCCTAGCATCAGACTGTATTAAGCTGCTATGTTTAAATAATTTCTAATTCCTCATAGTGAGCTCCTGAATAACATGATTAGACTCAAATTGTACACCATAGTTGTTCTCTGTGAAGTTACAATTATATTCCTCAAGTAATATACAGGATACTTTACACTCTTCACAGATTGATTTCTCACTTTGTCTTTTACAGGGGTTCCCTCTGACAAGGAATCACATTTAACTGGGATTTATGATTTGGTTGCTGTGCTCACCCACAAAGGTCGAAGTGCTGATTCAGGGCATTACGTTGCTTGGGTCAAGCAAGAAAGTGGTCAGTTCCCTGGAATAGTTCATTGAGGACTCTATATCTATGCCATGTGGTTTACGTATTATTATTGTAATAATTAATAATTGTCACTAATTACAGGGAAATGGATTGAGTTCGATGATGATAACCCTATTCCTCAGCGGGAGGAAGACATCGTTAAACTGTCTGGAGGAGGTAATCTTCAACCTGACCTTTATGAAATTCTAACGCATCTTGTTCTGTTGCTCATAAGCTGGTCTATACAAACAAACTCTAATAATAGTAATGTTTTGAATAGACAATTCATCTCATTGATTTACTGCTTACAATTAACATGCACATTCACTGACCCCTTTGTTTTTGGCTGTAGGTGATTGGCACATGGCATACATCTGCATGTACAAGGCTCGAACCATTGCAATGTAATCTTGTTTTGATATGTGGTGTACTTTGATTTATTTTTGCATTAAACGGGAACCACCTTCGTATATTGAGAATTGTGAAATGTCCAAATAGATTTTTACAGAACTGTGTTGTACTTGTATAAATTGTCACGTCCATGCAGTTTCTAGGGTGTGCTTTTAAATTTATTGAATTTTAAATAATATGATTGTATTTATTTGGAGATCATTTTGATCAAGAGTGTCAAAATTTACTGGAGAAGCTTAATTTTGGGTCTCCACAATTATTTGTGATCTGCCATAATTTCTATTCAAATATCCATTTATCAGTATCACTGCTTGTATGATTCATGTTGTATGCAAATTCTATTTTTGCAGATAAAAAAACCGACTTTTGAACCACAGCCATATATTTTTCTTCTGTGCCTTAAATGTTTGAGAGTTTGATGATGATTGTAATTTAGTATTGGCATGTAATTAATCATTGACATCGACAGACTAGTATTGAATTGAACTAAACTGAGACATAACATACTTGCCATTGCTGAATTTTCTCTTAGAATTCTACGAGCTTGTGGCTGCAACTCGATTTGATAATTTGTTTACAAATTCGAATGGCATAATTGTTAAAATACTCCACCTATTAAGCTTGGGAAATCAACAGTGACAGATGTGTTTCAAGTCCGTTGAGGACTAGATGGAATTGGGTGCCAAAATTAGAAAAGAGTCCAAGTGGCAATAGGCAGTAGTTGAAGGCTTAAAGAGGAAGGAAAAGCCCTGTGCTAGTTGGACTTGACGTGACGGCCATGGCCAGGGCGAGGGGCAGGGAGCTCTTTCATTTCTATCTTAGCCGATGATTTTGGTTCAACGGCAGCGTTGCTGTACAATGTGGTGACGAGCCTGAGTGGTGAATCACGGCACCCCATTTGGTCTTCCATGATGCTGACTACATTAATTGCGGGGAAGGAAGCAAAGTCATAGCTTCTTGCTTTTCGACGTTGGTGCCCAAGTGACAATACAAAAACACCCCGTGGCCACCAAACTACACATTCACCCTTCCATTCTTTCTCGGAAAATCTGCACTACACATGTACGGTTTTGTTCCGTAAAGTTGGAAAAACTTCTCTTAAAAAAATGTTTTAAGTCCCAAGGACGTATAATCACATTTTTCAACAAAATCTTTTTGGAAATTTTATTCGGACAATTAAAAAAATATATAAAATTTTATGCATAATAAATTATTTTTCAATTATCGAACGAGATTTACGTTTACGAGAATAACATAACCAGATTTAATCTCCACCTTTATTAGCATTGACCAAACAAAATCGCAACTGTACCTTCGATTAAGGAATAATAATACTATGAACCCCATTCCTGTCCTTTGGAGGTGCATCAAGTAGGATTCCAAGTTTAGCCCATTGCTACCAATGCATGGAGGAGCAGCACAAAAGCATGATCCAGTTTCTTGCCTTCCATGGGAATTATGCGACTTGTTGAATATTTCAATTTCAGCCGTTGATCTGAGTTTTCCCCCTCAGGGGTCCACCTCAACAATATAATGTATATGTTCCTTGTGGGCCAAATTTCTCCAGTTTTGGACGAAACCCTGTACATGTGGTTGGCTGCAAATGACATTGCTAAACCGAAGGGGTGGTCCAATTCTCAAACACATTATAGTGGGTGGCCCATGAGGCAGAGAGAGAGAGAGAGAGCAGCAGCAGCATTTGATGATTCAGCTCCTCTAGTTGAAAAATCATCACATCAATTAGTCATATATGGATTGATTCTTCCAAACCTACCATTTCCTCTTAGATTGTAGCTATTAGGCAATCCTTGCCAAATTAGGACCCTGCCTGCTTTGCAAATCTGCTTTCAACAGTCACCTAGCAATATAGCCCATACGTTTCCGTATCATGTTCCACTACAAACACATCTAGAAATGAGAGGATAGGGAATTGTGCATGTCCACACCTCACAAATTCCTGTAACTGTGATTTTACGTCTTCTTGGGTAAACAATCCTTACAACCTGATGGCTTGTATAAAATACCATTCGAAAACTACTTACAAAGAAGGTTAGATTGCAAATACTTTTATCACTTTTCCTTTCTTCACGAGTACGGTTATTATGATTATGCATATAGAGAATGATTCTCTCTTCAACTTTTTGCAGAGTATCACTTTACTTATGAAAGAAGCACCTAACTTTAATCACCTTCAAAACAGTGGTTTGGCAGTTTTTCAAAGTTAGTGATTCAGAGGGGAAACACAATGGAGTATTCCAGGCGTGTTACTCTCATGAAAAAATAATACCAGCTTCTTTAATACATGCAGCAATGATTAACAAGTGTTACTGTTAATGGGCACCATTCACCGTACTTTGCAGAAAGCCTTGGGAAAACCTTCCACCTGTTAGTAGGGTGTGATATGACGTTAATTTCATAATGTTAAGATGTCATTCCAAAGTCAACTTAAGAACCTAGGTAGATAGGCTAAGGCACAGGTACTCCTCAACCTATAACAGCAACTTCAAAATTGACATTATAAGATAGTACCAAGTAATTTATGCACCCAATTTACTTGTTTACCTTGCAAGATAAAAAAAAAAGAAAAAAAAAAGAGAAATCCATTGCATGCTCTCCATATAAGCTGAGATATAAGAAAACTAAAAATAGGAAAAAGGATTAATCAAAATAAACAAATGTTGCAAAAGGAAGAGGGGAACATTGAAATAACAAACAATATCCAAAGTGAAGGGGGAGAGTTTAATTTTGTCTAGCTCTTGAAAGACAAAAAGGTTTTAAAAAATTGGAGGTCGGAACCATGGAGCATGGATTTGGGTTTCCCATATGGTCTCCTACTCCACCAAATTCATAAACAACCAAAAGGGTGTCAAATCCTTTCCACACATGAATGGCATACTATCTAACAAGGATATATAACAAGGGGGAAAAGCCCTTTTGGGATTAAAGGCCACACCTCAAATAAATGGGCAAACACCCTTCTCTTTTTCTTCTATTATCATTCATAAAACACATACAAACACACCACAAGAGAAAAAGAAAAATGAAAATGAAAAACTCAATATATAATATATATAGAAGAATGCTATTTGTAGCATTAAGTCTTCGCGGCATTGTCATCTCCTCTATTACTTATCATCCAGCTAAACCATAAGATATCCCTCGTAGTATCATTAGATACTACAAAATCAAGCAATTATCTTCACAACCTTAGCTTTAATTACCATGACAAGCACAATTAAACAAAGGGAAAGCGGGGAGAGATTTTTTAAAAAAAATATTAAAAGGGAAAAAAATATATATGTTTTTCTATCTCTACGCTACTGAAAACTTGAACCTGGAGTGTAAATAGCAAGATCAGGCCACCCATTGCTACCGCCAGTCCAACAACTTGTATCCCCACTACCCTGCACACCCAAATAACTCTCCCCGTTATTATTGCTCTCACCCAGTCCCGGATCCCGACTCGGAACCTGATTCATCCCATGACCTGAATCCAAATTCCCCCCAAATTCACCCATTTGCACCGTTTTCAAACCCGGCCCATTTGGATTCAGCCCTTCTAGAAGGTTTCCAAACTGCCCACTCGACGACAACAGCGAGCTAAAGCTCCCACCGATATCCATCATCTTCCTATCTTGATGATTAACCGACAAGACGTACATCCGGGTCGGGTCACCGTCCGAACCCGAATTAAGAACCCCTGAGTTCAAGACGACTTGCTGGGGAATCGTCGATGATGATGTCCGCGGCAGGGAAGGGTCAGGGAGTTTTGGGTTTCGGTTCGGGTCAGTAGCGGGGTTGGGCTGGCGTTTGGGGTTGTTGGTGGAGGAGGAGGAGGAGGAGGAGGATGATGAGGATGAGCGTTTGGTGTTCTTGCGGGTGCCACCACCGACGGGGATGTTACGAAGGGCCCCTCCTTTGGTCCAGTAACGGCGGCAGTTCTTGCAGAAATGGCGGGGCTGAGACAAGTTGTAGTTGTTGTAGTAACAGAATTTAGTGTTGGTTGATTCACAGCGCGGGCATTTTAGCTGCTCTTGCTCTGGAAAAGCCGGAGCTTTCATTTGTTGAAATCCCGTCGGGTCTTGCATTCTTAATTAATTCCGGTGACCACACAAGGAGTAAAAAGGATCGCCTTGTCGGATGTTGAGGATCAAGAAGACTTGAATTTTCAAGCCAAAAAGGATCAGTTTTTGACTGACTTTTGATGAGAAAGTTATGTTTCTTCACAGAGAATTGGGTTGAGCTTGTGAGATAGACTGCTGAGAATGGAGTTGTAAAAGGCGGCAAGGAAGAAACTTGAAGTTTGAGCCTTGAGGATCTGAAGGTGGTGTTTTTATTTCAAGAATTTGAAAAGCTGTTAGCCTTTGAAGCTCGTGAAACGGCAAAAAGGCCAAGGTAGCGAAACTGAAAACAAGACAAAAAGAAATGATGCTTTGTTTTAGACCAATATCTTGGGATTCATAAACACTGGGAGATACTCAAACACATGCATCCTTTTACAAAAAGCAGAACATTCAAGCTTCATCAAAAGTAGAGACCCAGAAACCCAAACCAGAAGAAAACACTAGTTGATCAGTTTTGAATGAAGGAAATACTTACCACTCTAACTTGTCAAACTTGGTCTTGTTTTCAAAACTTGGGGATTCAAAGATTGAAAGATGTAGAAAGAAAGAAACAAGGCAGATATTTGGGTGTTGAAAATCCTTGAAGAGGATGATATATCTATGACTATGGGCGTCTCTCCGCGTGAGAGTGACCACCAGACTTCAAATAGAGAGAGACCAGACACTGCTCTCTCTCTCTCTCTATGGGTGTGTTGGGATTTGGGATTGGCTCAAGCCTTTCTGGACAGACCCACAAAAGCTTCCACTAATCTAGTAATTAATTAAAAAGTAATCCAAAGTTTTCTTAGTAAAATATATTTCTGTACAGCGCCCTCATTATTCTTTCGCCTAGATCCGTTAGGAAATGCTGCTAAGTGATCTTGTTTTACATTGGTGTTCATTGACTTTTTTTTTATTTCCTTTTACAAATAGTTTATTGGTTGGACAGACAACAGATGTCAACTGGAATGATTAACTGTTTTCACTAACCTTAAAAATATGATTAATTTGGCAATGAGCTTGTTTAGTCAATAAGAATGAATTATTTATTACTTCTTCTTTTTTGTTTAATGTAACAATTGAATTATGTAGATTCCACTCAATTCTTGCATATGATATTTTAGCAAAATAATTATGCATTTACTATACATATTTTTTTTTAATTTAAAGAAGCAATACATAAAACATACACAATTTTTATTAACATATATAAGTGCAAAACGTTGAATTTAAACCCAACATAAGAATTGAAGGCAAATAGTTAAAGAGTGTATAAAGTGTAGAGGCAAAAAAGACAGTAAAATACCTAGGACAAAAAGATTTACCAATCAAATAATTAAATATTCATTAGCATTATTAATATACGAAAAAGGAATTTAAAAAAAAAAACGAAAGAAACTCCGAAGCTATATAACATTCTAGAATAAAACAACTTAATCAATCCAAAAGCAACACAATGACACGTTTAATATGCTACCTTAGTCTTGTTAGAGAACAAGCCTTTATCACCCAAAGAATGAAAATGAAATGAGCAATCAAAGAAAAAATTTGGGAAAGGGTCATTGCAATAGCTCAAAGCTTCAATATGTAAATTAAATAAAAGAAAGTGGGTGACATTTATTATCCAACATTGTATCCACACTATATCTTAATGGACATAAGGAAATATTTATGTTGATATTTAATTTATTTATAAACTACTATACCATTATAGTGCCTACTTAATCATAGCGTTCAATACAAATAATAAATTGTAAGATATATTAAATTAGGGTACTACTAAAATGAAATCATTAAGCCACAATATTCATCAAGTGAGCCAACTAAGCCAAGCCAAAAGGGCAACTCTCCCAAGCCTGCGTGCAAATAAAGCAAGTTACCCTACGAGGCATCATATTAGATTAGAGCAGCGAATCAGGGCCGTTTATTCTGTCACATGTTCGTATCAGAGCCGTCAATATAGGAGTTTAAGCGTTAAGGTGCCGTCACCCCTCTCCAGCCAATAGTCACCGGAAACACGTGGCGGAACCCCATGATCGGTTGTGAGCATTTTGGGGCCGCGGGGCGGAGTGAGGTGTTAGGGTTACAGCTAAATCCGGTGAAGGGAATGTGAACGTGTCTGAGGTGGGCCCGTTTAATCCGTAATCTATTGGTCTGTTCTTTGCGTTGCCGACGTGACCTAAACGAACATCGGAAAACAGCCTTTTTACCTTGTGGCAAGGTGAAATGTTATAGTCACGTGGGTTTGATTATGGTTAAAAAAAAAAATTGATTCCTCATACCAACCCACTAAATGACAAAAGTAAGACTGTAACTTCACACTTATACCGTGACCAAATTTAATAATATTAAAGGAAAAAAAGGAGAAAGAATACTTAATGAGACTGATGATAATTGTAATGCCCAATCAGTATTGTAGTAAAAGATTAAAATAATTAGTTACTAAGCATGTAATTTTCGCCTTTTGGAAGAAAAGAAAGGAAAAAACAAACAAAAGAATTGGGCAAGTCCTTACCCTTTAGCAACTGTTTCTAAGTCAAAAGGTTGACCAAATCTGCATAGATGAACAGTGTCAATAATCTCAACTACTCAACTATGGTTGTGTTATTTGGAATTGTAAATTATGCAACAAAATGAATATGAAATTGCACATATACCTTCTATTTTTAAGATAATGAAATCTATTAATTTACAATGAAAAGGAAATGATATTAAAAGTTCATTGTGAGCTATGTATCCTAAAATCATATGTGTACAAGAATAAAAATAAGAAAATAGTAATTTATTTTTCATAGTTTCCCAAACTCTAATTTAATTTAGTACTCCTAAATCACAGAAAAACACTCTTGTTCAATAATAAAAATATAACATTTTTGCTTGGTTTGTGTTACCATGGAAGCTTGTGGGGTGAAATAAAATATTTTCTTATTACTATTAGATTTATAAGAAATTAAATTCAGGGTAAATTCCATTTTAAAAAAAAGTACTAAACATCATTAAATTATGTACAAACCTAAATGCACACTCGAACTCCTTGATGCTTTTGAGTTTCCTTTAATATTCTATATACTTTTTTAATTTTGTCGGTTCTATCAAAAGTTGTGTTTCATCCTTAGGCGAAAATTATGATCAAGGCAAGGGGGATAATCCCATAAATAGCTTATTTTTGGGTACTAACAATCATTCCACACTGGCAAAACAAAATGCAAACAATGATTAAGGTATAATTATTTTGATTGATGCATTCATCATCTCAAATTTAATTCTTCACAATTTAAAAAAAAAAGAAAAATCATCTCAACCATATCATGGTCAAAAGAAAAATAAAATAAGGGAACCTGATTTTTTTTTTGGGTTATATTTTGGACTTCTCACTAAAAAGTGAAATTAGCTGATAAAATATTATGCTATTTATGTTACATTTTTGTTAATTTACAAAATTATAATACAAGTGTTCAATCGTTTTTAATTATTGTCTGAAAAATAAACTCACTTTAATATAAAAGTTTTATTTTTTGACATTTTTAACATTAATCTTCATAAAAAAATACAAGAAATACATCAAATTTCCATTCATTTTATCAAAGCCGAAATTATAGACTTCTTAAAGAAAATTGAATGGTTTATGTCTAGGTCCCATCTCAAAATATTTAAACGGCTATGATTAGGGGAATGGAGACGAGGACGGGTGAGATTGCATCAGGAACGTGAGTGTAAAGAATGATTGGAAAAAGGACTGTAGCACGAGAGAGCATGATGGGTAGTAGGGCCCATGAGGCATGCTGGGTGGGGCCCATGAGGCCCACTAAGAGAGAGTGGGTTCCTGGGCCTTGAAAGTAAAACGTCCTGTCCGTGTCTTTCCCGCATGCAACACGGCTAAAATGGCGTGCCTGAAATCTTTCGTCCGGATTGACCGCTTGTTTATAAAGGTTTTGTTGTAGGGTTTTTTTTCCCCCCTCCTCCTCAAGTTTTCTATTTTTTTTAAAAGTTTCATATGATTTATAAGTTGCATAAGAGTATTTAATTTAATGATTGGTATTTGATTTTCGAATAAATAGAATTCGAGTTTTTTTTTTTAAATTGTCACATATGTATTATATTATAATTAAAATATTAATAAATTAATATAATTATCAAATAAATACATGTCAAATATATATAAATCTAGTAATAGTTTAAAAATCGATTAATATATATGATAGTAATCTATGTTATAAATATAAAAACATCAATAAGAAAAGAGGAAAAAATATACTTGTTAAACCTCTAAAAATAAATTTCAATGATTTTTAATTTTTAAGGATTGTCAAGCTCTACTCTCTCTTTTATTTTTACCTTGTTCTGTTGTGTACTTGATTGGATTTATTGACTAACTTGAGTTTAATGACTGACGTAATTTAAGGTTTAAGATCACATAGAATTGAATTAAAAATCTTGATTCGTGACAATAACTTAATTTGTTGACAATCTAGATAAAAAATTATTTAAAAAAAAAGAAATCAAATGCATGTAAGATGTAAGGGATCTCGTCCGTAAAAGTGTGTATGGTTCGATTTTATCGGTTTCGAATCGATTTTTATCAAAAACCAAGCAAAAAATTTTAATATTATAACCGATCGCTGCACACGGTTACTCGTGTATACCTTTTATTTGATTCTATTCTTATCTTCTAATACAAGTTACAAGGAAATTACACCTAAAACCTTGTAAAGTACACAACAAGGAGAATTCTAAGTAAGCCATATCCCTAGCCGATGAAGCGAAGCAAAACCTGAATTTGATTACTTATTTCTAATTCAGCATCGACAAAGAAAAAAGGAAAAAAAGAAAGAAAAAAGAGCTTAGTGGGAATGCAAAAAGCTTTAAACATTTGAGATGCAGAGTTTTCAAAAGCAAACTGAATTATATGACTTGATATTCTTTGTGGAAGGATCAATTGGGAGGAGAATCAGATCAAAACCTAAAGATGTTATTCCTCATCAGTGGCTACCTTCCTTCATGTTCTTGGCTTGTTATTTGATGTTGACCTAGAAAAAAAAAGAAAGAAGGAAAAGAAAGAAATTTATGTGCTGCCTATAGGCTTATATATAGAGTAGACTCCTTCGCTCCTTTTCTTATATTCTCAGAGTTGTTTTCAAACCGTCATATTGTTCTTATGCAAGATTCGATGCCTCCAGCCTTTATATTGATTAATCAAGTCAATGCTATTAAAGCAGCTTTACATGCATGTAATGCTGTCAAGTGGGAGCATTTCAAGAGCAAAAATTCCAGTTGGCTTCCGAAATTCGCTAAAACGTCAGGAAATTAGTAAAAGATCAGTTGAAGAGTTTTTTTTTTTTTTTTTTGCCGAAGAAACGGTTCACAAATTATTATTGCTGGAAATGTCTAGCTCAAGGACTCAAAAGTCCCCCAAAAGGAGTTGGAACTGCTAGAATTGGCAGTTTTCAAACATTGTAACCTGTAAGTGTAAACCCTCTCCCGATTATCTCCCCACCCCAGGACCAGGCATAGCACTCGACTCCAAACAGAGCAGCCACGCTAGCATTCTCCATGCTCCATGCCTCCTTGGTCTTTAAGAATTGTTTGAGGGAGTCAAGCTCCTTCCACAAAGCCTCGAATCGTCTAGGAATACTGCATATATATATCAGGCAGAGACATCAAAGAAGTTTAACAACCCATTTCATTGAGTATGGATTGCGTGTCCAATTTTACTTTTGTCACAATGGAACTTTGACGCTTTAGTCACTGATAAGTTGATAGAATTAATGATCGAGAGCAGCACGATCTATGACAATAAATGCAACGTGTGGCTTTGAGTGAAGACCAGCCCCATGATTGGGATATCTAGTAGGTATTAAGAAATTTAATGGTGATAAGAGATGCCCGCATCGATCCTAGGACTATTTATCCTTGAAAAGAAAATGATAACACCTTAAATGAACAAAGCCAAGTTAAGGAAACGTTTTCCACCCATTTAACTCAACTTTAGGCATTTTCCAAGCAACTGAGCTTTCACACTTGAATGCCACAAGTACCTGTTCTCTTTGGCACAATTAAGCCTTGCATCAGTAATTAACTACACAACAAAACCAGCCTTTGGGCTCAAATGTATATTGTCCTTGAAACCAAAAACCATCTTGGCATGCTTGTCACAGCATGCCCACACCAAAAGAAAGTGTAAAATCTCATAGCTGCTTCTTCTTCAAATTGCATCAGTACAGTTTATAAAGCATGGAATAATTAGACAACACAAAAGCATAATGCCACTGCATCCAGTGCTCATATATCAAGCTAATTTATGCAGTAATCTTTTATCTTGCCTTTCTCTAAATCTCTATATTTTCCACCTTCTGCACCCATCAGAGATGAAGTCTCTCTTTCTTCTCTGTTTCCTTATTCCAAAAACTAACAAGGGCATCTTTACCCTGCATCTGTTCCATGGGAACCTAATAGAAACTGTGATGAGCCCTTCCTAGTGCTCGCCCTCACTCACAAGCTTAAAGAGTACATATCATCGAAACAGGTGGATATCCAGACAGATTGTGAGTAGTCAATATATATATATAGGTAATACATTACTAAGAGTTGCGAGCTAAAAATCGGATTACATGATGTGATCTTACTCTAAATAAGTTATTTTTAAGGAAATACCCTGGAATAATGTGTTAAACCAAGGAGCATACATAGTTTTTATGGATGCATCAATAACCTAATTTTTTCCTTGGAAAAAGGTTTTTTCCAAGGCCCAATACTAATAAGGGATTAAAGACCTTCATATCACCAATCAATAACACAAAACTAATCCAAGTTTCAAGACCTTGTACTATTTATTGAATATCGAGTGAGTCACGGGTAGATATCATGCTTGCCTCTACTTCTCTTATCTGATCTTAAGTTGAAGGGATCCCATAATTCATCAAATACCAAAATAGGAGGACAGCGCCACAGTTTTCTAAAAGAGCTTTTTAGATATCTAGAATTCTCCACCATAAGGACAATGTCAAGTCAGTTAAAGATTCAATAATGATCAACGAGGGTTTGATTCAATCGCTTAGTCTTGATAATAAAAATTTGGCTAACCACTCGTGAATGCTACCCATGTATTATCTGGGATGTACTCCTGATTTTTTTGAAAAAGATAAAAAGAGAATCAACGTCGATGAGGTGGCCTTACATACTTATGTTAAGGCAAAGGCAAACTTAGGTCAGCTATTTATTCATGGACCTACCAAGAATATATTGGTAAAATCCTGCAATACTGTGCAGCCGACGAATGCCCAGTATTTTACCCATTTGAAGCAGTAAAGGTAAAAACTATTTCAACGTATCTGAATGTCCAAGAAAGTACCTGGCAAGTCTAGTATAAAACAACTGATTTGCCAACAATTGGCATGTCTGTGCGCTGGATGGTTTCTGGATGTATTGCTTGTTTCGCTCCATCAACTCCTTGTAGTAAGAACTTCCATTCTTGGTCACAAAATGTGAAACTTGAGCTGCCTTTGTTTGCAACTTTGAAGCCATGCAATTCCTTCGAATAAGATCAGAATTTCATCAGGACAATGCCTACAAGAAGCCAAAGACAAACTCGCCTTTTAATCTTAACAAGTAGTGCAATTCTTTTAACTGGTTATTTGTATAATCAATTATGCCTCATAAAAGTTTTTAAATGAAAACCCCTTAACTAGTACGCCAGATTGAAAAGAGCAAAAACAAAAAAAAAAAAAAAAAAAAAGAATTTTACAAACAAATGTTAACCACTTTGTTTGCATTACACGCAGTTTTCTTGCTCCTTCACAAAATTAAAGCATTGGAGGAAAGTACAAAGTATTGAACAAGTGGTGTGAAAAAAACATTTAGCATGAAGTTTCAATACAAATAATTTTCATAGAAACCTATTTCTTTTCTCTTGCCTCTCCTTTCTTTTCTTAGGTACCAAACAACATTCAATGCTAAGAGACATTAGGATATAACTAATAAAGACTTGGAAGAAGGAACAAAGGAAGAACTTTTATCAATGTAAGCAAATTATACCTTTCCAGTAATTCTTCTTCTTCTTCTTCTTCTTCTTTTTCCTAGTTGTTGGAGAAAATGTAAAGTCTCAACTGTGTTAAAGAGTGACCTTTGCTCATATGAAGCCATGAAACAAGGGGGAGGTTAGGCATTCAGATGGTAATTAAGTTATTTCTCAGATTCCTCATAAGGCTTTGAGTTTAGGGTTTTGGGACACTCCCCATTTCTGTCTGGGCCTCAGGACAATATCAACAAACTTCGTAGAAAGCAGACAGATTTGGAACGGGGAGTACTTCATCCACGATTGGAGACCAGCCTATAGTAATTTTGGACCGGGGAGCGTCCATTTGTAAATCAAAAACTAAAGAGAATAGTACAAATGGATTTGACTATATTAGTTTTGGAGAGGAAAATAAAATTCTCTTTACTAATACCAATCAAATTCAAGGTGGAGTATTAAAATTGAATGTCAATGAGGACGGAATTGATAAGACATTTACATAATAATACTAAAAATGGTAATATATTATATGTATGACCGACACCCATTATTATTACACTGGCCCAATTACATTGCTTTCCAAATGAAAGGACACCTTGACCAAGGAAAAAAGGGCGGGTGTACTGAAGTCGTCAACAAGAGAAATATGAACCTAGTCGCCAATACAAAACATCCTTTTCACCAAATCTTAAAAGTTTGGTAATTTGAGTCGAAACTCAAAAGTCACTTGGCAAAGCTAGTGACAAAAATCAATTGAAAAGGGGCAAAAAAAAAAAAAAATAAAAAGCGAAAAAGATACAATAATCTAAACTAGAGGATGAAGTTCCAAACATGACAAAAGAATCAATAAAAAAATGATGACTGCAAGTTTTAACAGCTCCTTCCCACCAAGATTTGAGTAAAAAACTACATTTACCTTAAACCTAGAGGCAAATATTGAACATCCTTTAGTTTTGTTGTAGGAGAGCTACAATCACATTTTCCTCTAACATCAACCCAACACAAATCTAGAAACATTACTCCATCTTCTATTTTAAAAGAAGATAGGGAAGGGGGTAAAAAGAAGAAAAGAACAGGCAAAAGGAATTTGTGAGGTTTGGGAGGAGAGAGGGTGGAGAAAAAGAGAATCAAGCTGCCCACCCGGGAACAAAGACAGGTTGCTTCCTCATGGATCTGTGACAGCCATTTCTTGACCTTGATAATATAGCGTGTGCTACGGATTTTAGGGGCACTGGAAGTGTGAGAATCAATGTAGCCTTTAGCTCACTGGTTGGCGGGAAAGGAAAAGGAGCTTTCGCCATCAGCAACCAACAAAAGTTAGCCAAGCAAATACATTTCTTCTTGGACAAGCTTTATGCATAGTACATGTACAAGCTGTTTGCAGCAGCACAGGCAATCGAGTTTTCAGTTGGGTGCCATGCTAGGTGCAGCAACTTGGTCGTGAAATCAAAAGAATTTCCATTTGCATCAACTCCAGGGGCTTCTGCTCCTGTTATGACAAATTCACCAAAATAAAAGCATTTGAGTACAAATCAAGAACTGAAAGAATTCATTTAACTTCCTCCCTACCCCCCAAGGAGTTTAGCAAGAAACTTATCAAAAGTTAACAGGTAGTAGAGGGAAACAAATGAACACCAAATCAAAGTACCTCGTCTGACTACACGTGTTATACTGCTTAGGGATCTGGAAGGCCTTGAGGGAGTCTGAACTTGTCTCCTGAAAACACGTATGGATGTTTACAGAAATCATAATTCACATCACTATTTTTACTCTGCTTGAGTGACAAATTTACCTCATTGGATTTTTGCTGGCTTCCAAAGTTGTCGCCTCAGTGCTTCCCGGGGCACAACCAAATACACGAAACAGATTGCTGAGATCACAGGCAAATATATATTATGATACATAGGACAAGATAACAACAACAAAAGGTGAAGGACTTGCTCATAAACAAACCTGTAGGAACCTGTTGCCACTCGTAATCCATCACCACTTAGGCAACACTCAAATTTGTCAAAGATAGAATCATTTTCATACAAATCACACAGCTGAAACGATTAAAGAATGCCATAATCAGCTCAGACACAGCACAACACAAATATGATTAGTTTCATCTCTTTTAGAAGATAGAAATCATACCTTAGGTCTTAAATATTCATGAACCTGGAATGTCGCAACTGGACCTGAATCCATATTGATGTCCCACAACTGACAACCAAGTGATAAGTAATCAAGTTAGATGACAAGTCCTAACATCCCCATAAAACAAGATATCAAGAACACAATCAGTAATCAAGTTTAAAACAACTATAAAAAGTCTTCAGCTGAACGAAAGTAACAACTGCGGTGAAAATTTTAAGAAAACAAAGTAGATAATAACGAATAAAAGACGCTATCATAACATATCCCCTCAACCCCCACCTTTTTCATGTCTTCATTTTAAGCTCTCCACATGATAAAAAAACTGTTTTAACTGTCTGAGTTCTAACCAAAATGTCAACAAACCAAATTGTTGTCTCTATTTTAATAACTTTCAGTTAAATGTTTATAAACCAGATTCTTTATCCGACAGACATTTGCAGTGAAAGGTCACTAGAGATTCATGCTTTCTGCACATTACGTCATCCAATTGCAATCATATCCTTCAATGTCTAATGGAATAGGCTAATAGCTAATTAAGTCAGGGATTAAATGGCACATAAAGTCATTATGGCATGCTTAAGCAGAATTGCATACATAATGTGGCACTCATTCAATACAAAGAATAATAATATATCGAGCAATAGCAAAAACAAGAAAAATAAAAACAATGCAAAACAAAATCAAAAAGAAACAAAGCTGAAACCTTAAGAGTCATGTAATCACGGCTAAGTATGTATCTTCCATCCTTAGCAAATTTAATATCCGAGATTGAGGCAATTATCTCTGTAAAAAATGATCTAGAACCAGGTGCCTCCGGTTCTTCAAACCTGTTGGCATAGAATAGCACTCATTATTCAGAAAGGATACTGAAAGCAAATAGCAAATATACCCTCACACATCAGGATCTATAGCATGGTATTTTAAATGGATATGTAGCAAATTCAGTAAAAGAAACAAAAAAAGAAAAAACACTTACAATTTGGCGTGAGAATCACACAACGCTGACTGCCGCAAATCAATGAGGCGAATTGAGCCCTTCGAACTACTATATGCTAACATGTTACAGTGGGAAGGATGAAACTCTGCTGATGTTATAACCTCTGCAGAGATAGACATAAAAATAGTTCAACCCTCAACCAAAATTATGGTTGAACAAAACTTGGGAACTTAAAACAAACTCCAAGCGAACAATTAATCTAAAGGGTCATTGACGTTTGCTTATCATGGAGATGCTTTTGTGAGTTTATAGAGATAATATAATAAATAATTTAGGAAAGTGAAAGCAGCACAGGAAATTGCCAATATGCTAAGAGGCTTACCAGTTAGATCCTCCATGTTTGCAGGCTTTACATCAACAATATTGAAACTTTGATTGCTAATTTCCAAGTTCCAAAGATTTATACGCAGATCATCAGCTGATATAAAAGTTTCGCCATCACTAAGACATATAAGAGCGAGAGAGAGAGAGAGAGAGAGAAAGCATCAGTAAATTTTGGCAAATCAAGCTAATGATAAAAAGGAAAACACAGAAACATGATGTGTTTTAAAACAAAGACACATACATGCTTCTCATATAACACCATAACAGTTATAATCCAATAAAACCTAAACTGCAGACAAGTCTGAATGTCAAGAAGCTTAATTATCACGATAAGGATTTCAAAACAAATTACATGGATAATAATAACAATAGCACAGAAAACATGGCGTGCAGACAATCCAATTTTAAGACAAGTGCTAGATAATTATGTGATAAAAGATGAACCCTTCAAGATGCAAATATTAAGTATAAGCTGACAACTAAAATGCTTCAATGGTTGCATGGTGTAAAGCATGTACAATTGAGAGAGCCAAATTTACCATATTCTCATGCAAAATGAGAATGTCATGGCTCAGAGGCCAAAAAAAGAGACAATTATTCCTAGAGAAAGCTCCATTTGTAGCATTTACATCCTATGGTTTAAAAGTTCTCCAGTTTTATCAAGATCATTAATCAACCTTTCATTTCTGATGCATGACAATATTTTCAGAGACCATTTCACAACTATAGCTTCTTGCTTGGACATGACAACACAGCAAGTCCAGCAACAGAATGTTATCAGGGAATCAGGATTCATTAAATCATTACTGCATTAAAAAATAAATCATACTTGATCGTTATAGCTGGTGAAATCCTATGCCCATGAAGTCTGAATGGAAAAAGCAAAAACTAGAAGTCCAATTCATGCCAGTTTTAATTTCTACTCCAATCTAGAACCTAAAACTAGATGGCATCACATTTTCAGAAAACATCAGTATTGATACTTCAAAGGACAAAAAAAAAGTCAACCAAAATACAGTACATAGAGGTTAAGCTAATATCAGACTGAAACTCTTTATAAGGGCATTCAACTGTCTCAGGTGATGATGGATTGAGTTCCATAGTAGAAGAAAAAGGTAAGATGCATTGTTATCTACTATATATTATCCCAGAAACAAAATCATACTTCTCTTCAATTGCTTTTCAAATAAACCCAAATATTAGGAAGTCAAAGCACAATAAAATTGCAATAAAAATAAAAGAAAAATAGCTACCTGTTATTTGAAATAGAATTGATGTGATAATCATGAGCATGGGCATATACTCTTCGACATCTGGCCACTAGGTTGGTCTCCAGACTTGTTACCTAGATATAGTAAATCTTAAAGGTTAGTGTGGATTAAAAGACCAAGAAGCATTCAGCCAACAAAAAACGTTCATGATTTTTCAACAATAAAATCCTACTCCCCCTCTTCCCTCAGCCATAAAAATAAAAGCGGACAGAACCACCAAGTGATCTTCCAAGGACTTGAGCCAGTTATGGTTGTGAAAGCCCCAGTCATCCAAAAAGATGCTGAGCAGAGAGTGGCAGATTCCTAGATATAACAGGATAGAATGTAAAATCTAACAGTTTATTTTACCTAAATACCTAGAAGTGCATATTTTTAAGAAATGATGCAAAAATATAACATCAAAGGCTAAATATTCAATCTCATTGGCCTTCACACCAAGAAGGGGACAAAGAATCATGGGCTTTGTGCCTTATTCAGTTAGGCATCAGAGAGTAAGTGCTATACCTAGTTGAAGTACTGCTCCTCGGAAACATCTGGTGCTACAAAGAAGTTCATCACCTTACCTTGCACTTCTATTAAGCTTTGGTTAAGTTTTTATCATCCTCCCTAGCCTTAAGCATAGTAACACTAGTATAGCTCAAAAAGTGCTTAAATTTTAGCCTAAAACTTAATCAGAGCAAGTAAATAAAATGATTGTGTAGAGTACAACTACCACAGGTAAACGTAATGATGCAACGCCTCCTGGTGGGAAAGAAAAGTCATTGCCCAAATCGTTGTAGGATCGGTCAGGGGACCCTCCATTTGCAACGCAAGGTTTGGGGCTACACGAATTACTTGAACTAGCAATGCTGCCATTTCCTACAGCTTTTGATGGGTCCAAATTCATGTCAGAAATTTTCTTGACCTTCTTTTCTTGTACCTGTTGAATTCTCAGACAGATAGCAGACAAATGAGTGGGTATAATGGCAAGGGCAGAGCTTCCACAATATCAATCATTAAACATGCTTAATACCAACAGTTAGAAGAAAAGATAAACTAAAATGATAAACATTACCAAGTGTGTTTTACTCTTGCCTAACCATTTCATAGAAAATATTTATAGACCATTCTATCTATGCACCACTGCAGTGGTTTTACAGAACATATTCCATTACAAATGCATGAACATATTAAAATTCCAGACAGTACTAACTGTATTCAAAGTAATCACATGACAATCTACAAGCAAACTGAAAGATATATAGTTAAGAAAGAGATACAGCACAAATTTCCTTCCTACCTTCCAAAACTTGATGGTTTTATCATTGGTGGAAAGGAGAAACAAGGCACCATTGGCTGTTTGGCACCATCTAATTTTGTTAATTTTTTCCTCTATTTCCAAGCTCTTGAGATAGTCAAACTGAAAAAAGAAATGCAGACAAAGTTAGAGCACAATAATCTTAGATCAGTGAGAAACAAATGCTTATGTGCATGTATGACTGCATCAAAAAGTGAGGAGAGAGCACCTCAGGCTCGTGGCTCTGGAACTCCGTCTTGTAACGGAACTCAGGATGCCGACAGATTGGATAATCAATTCTCTCCAGATCCCTTCTCGGTACACCATGCTACAAATTGTAGTATAAAAAGTTACTATAAAGTTGCAGCTGGAAAAAACACTCAGGCAGTATATTAACATTAGCAAAAATAGCAGAACTCACATCCTTTGTATCAGTTCTCTCAAAGAGAACCACCCGCCCCCCACGGTCACCAGTCGCAAGATGATCCCCAGTTTTATCAAATTCAATTGCTGAAATAATATCAACTGCAGGAGGAAACAAAAATTGTTAAGAAAATACAATTGCTTTGCCAGTAAGAGTAATGGTAAAATTTTGTCTAAGTTCGTATAAAATTCTATATAAAAACTACATTTCTCGGGAAGAAGCCCAAATCTTTTTTATTTCTCTCAGTCTCTTGACATAATATTTGTTTTCCAAACTACATCTTTCTCTTTTTTTAAAAAAAAAATGGTTATAAGTCAATATAGTATCAACTATTTCTGCCATGCCCTACCAAAAATAATCCACAGCCATTGTAATGCACATCCTGGTTGACTTGCATTACTATTCTTCTGGCAAGGTTAAGCAAAAGTCATTGTGACAATGACAAGCTTGATTTGGAGAGGTAAGAAGAATAAAAAAAGAACAACTACACAGTGACTGACAAGCTCTAAGAGTATCACGAAGTCCAAGATAGTTCCTTTCCAAAACATCTTTACCAAAGACTATCATTCATTTCTTTTTCAGAACCCAAAATAGAATTTTGCAGTGTTTAGCTAAACAATGAGTTATTGTCAACAGAAAATAATTAGCAATTCTAATAGAATCAACACAAACGTTTCTGAAAGCAATCCATCTCCCACTAAGTCCAACCTGAACTTCTTGCCATGCATGACCTTTTCATACTGCCATTCATATGTGCAAATTGCTTCAACAAAATCCTTAGTAGATATATGCATAAAGGCAAGAGCTGACCTACCTTGGTTTTCTAGAAGCAAAAAGACATTTATAACAGCAATCCAAATTCTCCACCAACTCTCTGTCCAAAAATCCACAATAATGGAAGCAATCTAAAGACAGCCATACTTTTCTGGGTTACTTTTCAAAAATTTAACTTGAAAAGACTTTTAATCTCAACTGATTAGTCCCATAGAAAAAATCAAAAGTCTTTTATGGCTACTTACTCCAACAAATCAGGAACTGTCTCCTTTAGTATTATTGAGAATTCGCTTTGGATGTCTTCTTCACTCATTGCTTGTTATTGGTTTTTATCATACATCATTGAGCTATCTTAGTTAGGCTACTTTCTCAGATCTTGTTCTCCGTACTTCTATTTCAAGATTTCACAAACTCATTACTTTTTCAGCATAACCTAAGGTCACCATTCATCTACTTAGTAGAAGTTACTTTGTAGAAATTACTTCCTTTGATGTTCACCCACATTACACAGGATTGAACTCAACTTGTGAAGCCATTTACATTCCAAAATTTCACTATGACTTACAGAACTGAACAATATAAATTTAAACTGAGTATCTAAAAGGTCAAATATCCACCAATCACTAAACTATATCTTTCATAGAAGCACCATGCACTCTTACATCATTCAACTCATAACCAAACCCACTTTCTGCCTGTCCCATTTGCTAGGAAGTTTGCCATAATATAACCCATTCGTATTAGAAATAAACCACCACCTGGTAAATCCAGGAATCTGTAAAATATGGCTGTCTTTAACCACCATACAAATAGTAAACTCATGCCACATCCATGATGTCAACTTGTCATCCATCCGTGGGTTAACACTTAAAGCGACATAAACTCTTAAAACATAGTCTATCTCCATCCTAACAGAGTGATAATTCCCAGACTGCAAATTCAATTCAATTCCCAATACCATAAATCAATTGCCACGCACTATAAACCCACAACCGAAAAATGGGTACAAAAATTCATTAAGATCCAAACTTTGCCATTAATTTAATACTAAAAAAAAGAAAGAAAAAAGACACAACTTTTTGTGCATGCACCATCACTAACTTCACCTAGTTCACTTCGACACTGCCTTTTTTCTCAGAAAACTACTTCCCACAAATGATTCAAGGCATATTTGAACACAAAGCCACTAATTTTCCCAAATCAAAGCCAAAACCCAAACAGAAAAGGCACAATTTTTTCTCGCACCCATTAACCTAAACAACAATTACTCAACAACCCATGATCCCGAATAGATCCAAAACACCGAAATAAACCCTAATTCCGACAAAACCAACGAAATACCAATTGGATCCAAAAAAAAGAGTTTACCTTCTTGAACTTCTTCTCCGGCGGTTCGTTCACCAAATACCTGAGAGAATTTCCAATCCAACGGCTGTGGCGGGCCCGCCGGAGCTGCGACCACCTCATCGCCTCCGTTCATTTCTCTTGTTCTGTTTTTTTTCTGGTCTCTCTCTGTGTTTTCCACTGTCTGATAATCAATCGAACGGAAAATCCAACGGCTCAGATTTCACCACACTCCCAGAATCAAATGAAAGATCGCATCTTTAGTTAACTTTTCCTTTTCTTTTCCTTCTTAATTCGAAAGGGGAAAAAATTGAAATTTTGTTCCGTTTTCTATAATTCAACCATTGATAATAGCCCAAAGAAAAACAAACAACAGAGACCCAAATTTTCTCCCTCTTCTTAAAAAAAAAATTATAAAAAAATAAGAAAAATAAACACTTTTGCTTTCTTTTTCTCTCTCTCTCTGTGGGAAGGAGAAACTCGGGATTTTTAGATTTCTCAAGGGATTAAAATGACTGAGTCGAAAACTAAAAAATAAAACATACATTCAACACTGTCTCCCTTGCTCTACTCCATCGTCTACTTCTCTCTCAATAATGTAAGTTTTCGTTTTCTCTTTTATTATAAATTTCGTGCATATGATAAAATTACTTGCTCCGATTTATTTTTTTTTTTACTTTTTTACTGTTGGTTCTGAGTGGGTGATTCAATGGAGAGGCGCCGTTTGATTGGTGGAGGGTGCGGGTGATTTCGGGAGAGAAGTTTGAGATTATGAATTGTTAAGTGGCTTGAAATGACATTGCTATCCCTGGCTTTACATCTTCTGGTGAGTCTTGGCACCGTTCGATTGAAGCGGTTGAGAAGTCAAGTCATCCGACGATAAGAGATGAGGGAAGAGGTTGGAGAGTGGAGCAAGGTTTTTTGAGTGTGTAATCCTTTTTCTTTGTGAGAGGCATGATAGGGTAGCATGCCCAGAAGACATACTACGAGAAAAAATATATGTTTCATCTTTATTTGTTTTTTTTTTTGGGACTAATTGTGGAGTTTGATAAGATGTTTTTAGATAGGGATGTCAGCAGCTAAGATATTTATTATTTTTACAATATTTTAATTTAAATCTTATTGTTCAATAATAAACCTAAATCTTATAAATATCTAATTAATATTTTGAATTGCTATCAAAATATCTTAAATATTATTGGTTAAATACTTAATTGAAAATAATTTTTATGTATATTATTAATAGAAATTAAATTAATAAAATTAGTTCATAAATAATAAATTAAAGTTTAAAATTATATTTAAAAGAATTAATGAATTTTAATGTATTAAGTTATTATAAAAAGTTTATAAACAATAAAAAAACAATATATGTAAGATTAAATTTTAATATTAAAAATCACTATTTATAATTGAATTTGAATAATAGCTATCCTAAGATTATTACCCAACTCATGATGAATAGTTGTTTTATTATCCAAATTTGATTAGAAGATATCATAATCTTACTTAATGGGATCAAATAATGTAAGATACTTGATTACAATACAACATAGACATCTCTATTTTAAATTTATTGGATGGTTTGACTTATGAGGGTTTTATTGAATATGAATTTTCAAAAACAAAAAATAGAACAAACAAGCTTTTTTGATAATATCATGGGATATGTTCACAGCAATAATGCTAGTAACAAGCAATCTTTTTTTTTTCCTCTAAACAAACCCAAAAAAAGTTTAAAATTTCCTTCCAAAAAAAAAAAGAAAAACAAAGAAAAAAGATTTCCTCTAATTTTGTATAGGCTATTTTTACAAGTTGAGTTGGTCTTGAGTGTTGATGAGGAGTGGGTGAACCATGGGATGAATTGTTAAGTTTGATATTTATATGGTATAATTAGCCATGTGGGTATCCATTAGTAGATGGGAAATTCAGTAATGAATTGCATTTATTGCATATTATGTTTTTAGTGGCACATTTAGGCAAATCAATTTAAGGACATGATAAGAATTGAGTGAAACTTTTGATCTACCCTATACCTATAGGGTTAGAGGTGGGATTCTCAAAATTATGTTTCCTTATTCAATGTGTACATGACTTTTGACTATGATATACATGGTAAACAATGTTTTCCAATTATGTAATTTGTTTTATGCATTCTAGAATTAAAAAATCAATTTATTATTAAAAAAATAGAAAAAAAAAACATTTTTGATACACTTGAATGTGAAAAAATGCATTTTATTTTGAGTTTTATAAATTCGAGTGCTTCTTTTTCATTTTTTAAACTCTTTCTCCTTTCGTAACGTAAAATTGTTAATATTAATTTTGAAATTGAATTTTGATTAAATTCCAATATATAATTAATATTGTTCGTTTCCAATATTTAAATTTAATATTCTAGTATTATAAGTGTCAAATTCTAGTTATTGAAATGTCTCTTTAGATACAAATAGAAAAATATATATATTATATTATATGGAAACAATTATTAATTTCTTTGGGTTGATAAGCACTCAAAAGAAAAAGAAAAGAAAATTAGTGTTGATAAATATATTGAGTTGTTCAAAGTATGCACACACATTAGTATATGTTGGGATATTTTATATTTGAGAAAGTGTAAGGCCAAAAATAGATTTGGTGATGCAATAAAAAGACACCCATGTAATAACAAAACAAGATTGCATTGCATATGTCTGAGAGAGTGAGAGTCCACCTCAAACATGGCCATTGAAAACAACCTAAAGACACTGTATCTTGATTATTCTTGAGCCACTTCTGGTTTCCTCAGCAACATCCTTTTCTCTACTTGGTATATTTTGGTTATGGTGAATCTGAAATCCATAATCATGTATACTTTAGATTACTGTGCATGGAGAAAAGGGTGAAAAGACCATATATCAAAAGATTACATCAACCCATCAAATCTTACACTGTGCCAACATTCATCTTGCCACAGCCAAAGGTCTCAGCTGAATAAGCTTCTGATCTGATTGAGGGCCCTTCCAGGCGTCAATATAGTAGACTTTCCACAACTGCGTGGGGCCCCAGATTAAAGCAAACCCTTTCCAGGGAACAAACTCTCTGATGAGGGGCTGCTCAGGAGTCCAATTCGCTGAGTTGAAGCTTAGCCCAGCTTAGCTTTGGCTTACGCACATTGGTCAGAAAAGATAGCGCTTTCTCAACCATCTATCAAGCTTGGAACTCACAATTTTTTTTACTCAAGGAAAAGATATCGTTGCGGATTACGTAATTATTGAATATTCATGGCTTGCTCATTATATGGAAATGATAGAATATTATGAGAAAATAGTCGTTTAGTTCTCTATGACAATTAACATGGTGTAGTAAAAGCAAATGCATGATAATATAAGTGACATTTAATATTTTATAATATAATATTATATAATTATGTATGATTGTAAATAATGTAATTATAAATATTATATTTATATGAAAAATAATATTATAATATTTAGTATATAAATAAAATAATGATTAAAATATAAAAAAAATAACATTACAACGTTCGGCTTACAAATACTTTGTTGAGAACGTAATATTAATTTCTAGAATTACTCTTACTCATTAAAATGTAAATTTAATATATTTATATTTTTTATCATTAATTTTTATATAATATCATCTTTTAAATATATTTTAATATAAACTATTTTATTATAATCTTATATATTTTATTTTTATTTTTTAATATAATTTTTTATATTATATATTTTATTTTAATTTTTTTAAAAAAGATAATATAAATTTTATTGACATTCACCATCCATTATCCATCATCCAACATAGAATAGCTATTAAGAGTAACAAAGAGACATCTTTTGAAATCTAAAAAAAAAAATAAGTTACAATATTACAAAATATTTTTAACAAAGTAACAAAGTTGAAAAGTAAAAATATTTTTAATAATATTATAAAGTGTAATACAATCTAATTACATTAATTTTGTACTGTAACTACATTACATCCATTGATTATAATGTAATTATATTATAATTTTACATTACAGTAATTTATTAAAGATAAATATTATAATATAATTTAATTAATTATATTATAAAAAATATATTTTTATTTTTCTCATATCAAATGTTATTATAATGTTTATAATATGTTGGGTGTTTCGCACATATTATTCTTTGACTTTTGCAGGTGACCCTAAGAGCCTGTCAAAAGCCCAATCTCAATCACCCAAATTTGAGTAAGATTTGGAAAGTTTTGCTTCTTAACTCTTAAGCTTAAGCCCCATTTTAAAGCACTAAACTGGGCTTAACCATAGTTCAATCTTATTTCTGCCCACTATAGATGGGCCATGTGTATGGCCCAATTGAACTTGCCTAGGCCATTGTTACCACAGGCCATTGCTGATTGCCCAATTCTTAAAGATCATTGATATTGGGCTTCTGAGATTTTCAGAACTTTAAATCTTAGATCGTAGAACATGCTTGATGGGGAGATGAAATAACCATTTTCCTTTATTCTTAATTCCTTTATAAGAATGCATTTGGTTCACAAGATGATTATTATTTGAAATGATCGTTTTGAGAGAAGTCAGGACGGATCTCTTCTTGATAAAGACTATTCTGAGTGTGTAAGAATATGTTAAAAAAATTATTGGACAAGCAGTGATACTGGTACTTTTATAAACAAATTTAAATTTGGTTGCAAAAAGTATTAATTTACACTCCGCAGCTAGATTCGATCAAGGAAAAATCGATTTTGGCATCCATGTGTCACGAGGAAAGTGTCTCTATCCCACATTGGACAGGAACGGGAGGTTCTGGGCTTTTTATAAGCAGGTGTGCTGCACACTCCCATAAGCGCGTTTATGGAGAGAGAGTAATGACTCCGTGACAAGTGTTATCAGAGCGGACCGAACCTCGTCTGACTCACGCCAAAGCACCTGAGTCCAGGGAAAGGAATCGGGTGGGAGAGTTTGTCACGAGGAAAATGTCTCTATCCTACATCGGACAGGAATGAGAAGTCTTGGGCTCTTTATAAGTGAGTGTGTTACACACTCCCATAAACGCGTTTATGGGGGAAAGAGTAATGACTCCGTAACACATGACCATTGTTAGGCTAATTTCAAGTTACTACAAGTCTTTAAGTTTTCTTTCAAGTTATTACAAGAGAAATTTTTTTAAAGCGTTAAGTGAAAATACGATATTGTCAGATTTAGTCAAGATGGAGATCTATATAAAGCCTAAGAAATGCAAAAAAGGAGGTTCTTATGTTATTCGAGAAAAGTTTTTCTTACTTATATAAGAGCAAGCACTACTCTGTAATTTCTTTGCCCTTTTCGATTTTTAGCATTCTAGGTTTTACAGTTTTAGTGCATCAAGGGCAAAAAAGAACAGGCACCATGCAGCAGGAGCTTCTATGCCAATTAACTACCAAAAAGTTGCTGAAAGGAAACTCTTTTAACTTGAACAAAGAGCTCAACTATTACTCCGCAAAAGGAAGTTGTTGGCTCCGTTCTTTGTCAGCTTTTTCCAAGTAATATTGGTACAAGGGATCAGGCATATGTCAGGTTAATTTTAAGTGATCAACCTACCAACACAAAGTTTACAAGGAAATGAAACAAGCACCCATGAATCTGCAGATGTAGCTATTAGACTAAACTCTAAGAATGTGACATCTTGAAACACCAATAAATTTGTTAGCCCGGAATAACTTTCCTGCGTCAGAAACATTTCATACTGACTCTGAAATGCACATAATGTAA